GCTCAATAACAAAAAAACAAACAACCCAATCCCCAAATGGGCAGAAGACCTAAATAGACATTTCTCCAAAGAAAATATACAGATTGCCAACAAACACATGAAAGAATGCTCAACATCATTAATCATTAGAGAAATGCAAATCAAAACTACAATGAGATATCATCTCACACCAGTCAGAACGGCCATCATCAAAAAATCTAGAAACAATAAATGCTGGAGAGGGTGTGGAGAAAAGGGAACACTCTTGCACGGCTGGTGGGAATGTGAATTGGTACAGCCACTATGGAGAACAGTCTGGAGGTTCCTTAAAAAACTACAAATAGAACTACCATATGACCCAGCAATCCCACTACTGGGCATATACCCTGAGAAAACCATAATTCAAAAAGAGTCATGTACCAAAATGTTCATTGCAGCTCTATTTGCAATAGCCAGGAGAGATGGAAGCAACCTAAGTGTCCATCATCGGATGAATGGATAAAGAAGATGTGGCACATATATACAATGGAATGTTACTCAGCCATAAAAAGAAACGAAATTGAGTTATTTGTAGTGAGGTGGATGCACCTAGAATCTGTCATATAGAGTGAAGTAAGTCAGAAAGAGAAAGACAAATACCATATGCTAACACATATATATGGAATCTAAGAAAAAAAAAATGTCATGAAGAACCTAGGGGTGAGACGGGAATAAAGACACAGACCTTGTAGAGAATGGACTTGAGGATATGTGGGGGGCGGGGAAGGGTAAGCTGTGACAAAGCGAGAGAGTGGCATGGACATATATACACTATCAAACGTAAAATAGCTAGCTAGTGGGAAGCAGCCGCATAGCACAGGGAGATCAGCTTTGTGGTTTGTGACCACCTAGAGAGGTGGGATAGGGAGGGTGGGAGGGATGGAGACGCAAGAGGGAAGAGATATGGGAACATATGTATAACTGAGTCACTTTGTTATAAAGCAGAAACTAACACACCATTGTAAAGCAATTATACTCCAATAAAGATGTAAAAAAAAAAGAATTACCTATTCAAAAAGGAAAAGGGGAAGGGGAGCACTGTCTCAAATTTTAAGGCTGAAAAGACTAAAAAGATATTTTCAAAAGAACCAGGTTAATGCCTCTTCTCCAAATTACAAAATTAAATGTCCCTGATTAGGCTGTCAAAGCAGCAATACCTTTTCTCTAAAATAATTTAAAAACAAGCATCCTACCTTAACAGCGATCTATAGTCAATGTAATCATCTGAATATTTGCAAAGGAAAATTTAGACCAAAACAAAATGTATCAGTCTAAACTTTAACATACGAGTTTTTAAAGTGAATATAAATCATCTTTTATCAATGGATTCATGATGGTCCACCACACTACCCTACTTTTGTGTATGTTTAAAATTTTCCATATAAAATGTTCTCTTAAAACCTTAAGAACTCCTTAAAGGAGTGGCCATCAAAATTCAGGTGGCCATCACAATTACTACATGTTTAATTATCTGAGCTAGTAGATTAATGTGGTAGTTTAAATTCTTTACAATGCAGACTTTATTAGATGCTTTAAGTAAACTTCATGATACACTGAGATCTCCTTGTATAAAACTGGCACAGATTATACATGCTAATATATGGGTTTTTAAAATAAACCTAAATTTATAGCTTCCTGATTTTATCATAATTTATCTTGATGTCAAGTCCTTTTTTAGGAGTGTTAAACCAGTCATAATATAGTTTATTATTATAGACTGTTAAACCAATTCACAATAAAAGGAAAAATTTAATATGATCTGCTTATAACATGGTCTTTTTAAAGTTAAAAGAGGCTGACTATATATACTACCAAAACTTCCTAAGGTGAAAGCGATTTTAGAATTAAGTATGCCTCCTGGTCAAGTTGTATTTAACTGACAAAGAACAAGTGATAAAGGTGGTAGGTCTTTTACTCCTAAATTGCTGGTCCCAGTTAAATCGAAAACCAAAACTAAATTTAATCAATTACCTCTTTAGACCTCCAAGGGGGAAAACTTATCTAGCAACAGATTAAGTCCTTTCACTGTGGCAAAAGTTAATAGAATTTATGAGGAGTCAAGAATGTCCCAGACTTTACAGCTATTTTATTAAAATTAAACACAGTATTTTAAATATCCACATGAGTTAATACTGCTCCATATAATACTCTGCCTCACAAAGTTACTATGAGGATCAAATGAGAGTATGGGGGAACATTTTTACAAACTGTAAACCACTATGCAATAGGTATTCTTCTTGTGTACAAAAGGATGGAATGTGTAACTCTCTTTCATCACTTGCAGATCTTAGAGGTTTCTGCTTTACTTTTTGCTAAAAATAAAAGGAGAGGGAGGGTATTCCCTGGGGTTCTAGCATCTACTCTAATGATGTCCCTTTACTCAATCTATTCCATTAAAACTACTTACTTGTGCTAGTAAGAGAGTTAGAGTTTCCTACATGTTTTCGTGCTCTTTACATGTTTTTCCTCAAACTGGCTAAAACAAGAACAGCTTGTTTAGCTTCTCCTTAACCCTCCAATCCATAAGCATTTCTTGCTTTAATTACCACACAACCAAGGCATGATTTTGAAGGATCCAACATTGCCCTATCTGTTCCCACTGTCCTTCCTTTCATTATGTTAAATACAATCACACCTACTAATTGTTAGACACTGAGGAAACCAAAAAAGATAAGCTGCTTTGAGAGCTTTCTCCCCAAAGATGTTAAAATTAATTTAGTAGTTTTAGATATTTTTTTCAGACACCTGCTATTTACAGCCTTTGAACCAAATCTGCATTTCCCATTGAGAGATCCACTTACAGGTGTGCAACTTGGAAATACCCTGTTACTTGTAGACAAAGAGTCCTGTATAAAGATGTTCATATTTTAGCACTGTTAGTAATAACAAAAAACCTGAACATAACCTAGATGTCTGTCAGGATAAACTATGTTAAATTGAAAAGAATCAGACCTATATGTATCAACACATACATATGTATACCTTGAAATTATAATAATTTTGAATAAAAAGGACAAGATGTTGAACATTACATACAGTATCATACTATTTTATATATTAAAAAAATGCTATAGGTACATATCCATGTAGTAAAATATAAAAATTTCGATTGAATGTACCCCACATTTATCATAGTGGCTACTTCTTGGGGGACAAGGTGGGATGAAGGATGTTTGGGAAGGGAATGGGACAGGTAAGAGGAACCTAAATATATATATGTATGTACGTATATATGGATATATGTTATATATGTGTGTGTGTGTGTGTGTGTAATATGAAGCAAATATAACAAACATTAATACTTGTTCATTGTAGGTGACTAAACACAGGTGTTTAATATATTGTCCTTTATACTTTTCCATATAAATAAATTTCCTAAATAAAAAAGTTAAAAACCTTATGAATGTTCTTTTCTAAACCTCTGCTACTTCCTCAAATCAGCATGAATATGTTCATCAGTTTTTTTTTCCTAGTGGGAACTGTTTCTTTTTAACTTTCTATTTTTCTTTTGTTCTATGTTCTTTGAATTTTTCCAACTCTACTATGAAAAATTTCAAACACAGAAAATTAGGAGTGGTACAATTAACATCCAAGTTCTCTCAGATCCTAAAATTATTTTTTCATATTTGTTTTCTCTCTTTAACATTTTGTTTCCATCATACCATTTGAAAGTAAGTTCTAAATTGACTGACTGAGATAGAATTCAGAATAGTGGTTACTCTTGAAGGTGGTCACTGAATTGAGGGAGCACAAGAGAACACTCACATTAGAAATGTTCTATATCTTGGTCTGCATGGCACTTACACATGTAGAAAGTCACTGAGCTGTACATTTGAGATTTGTACACTTTACTATATGTAAGTTTTATTTCAAAAAAGGGGCGGGAGGGGGGTTGCAGGCATCATGACAATTTACTCCTAAATATTTAAGCATGTATTTCCTAAGAATAAAGACATTCTCCTACATAAAAATATCGCTATTGTCACACTTAAGAAAACTAATAATTCCATAAGAACACATCATATTCAATCAACACTCAACATTTCCTATCTCAAGAAGGACTTCTACAGCTCTTCCCCACCCTGGTCCCAAACCAGGATCACACAGCGCATTTGTTTGTTTTGTCTCTTTAGTCTTACTCAGTGTAGAATAATCCCCAACCTTTTATCCTCCATGACACTGAGTCCAGGCTGTTCGTCTTATAGAATGTCCACCTTCTGAATTTGTCTAATTGCTTCCTCATGGTGCTTAACTTTTCCCTTTATCCCGTGTTTCTTATAAAATGGAAAGTCCAGAAGCTTAACATTCAACACAATCATTTTTAGTAATAATACTTCAGAGATGATGACTCATCCACTGAGTTTTAAATTTTAAGGCTACCTAGAAATTCTATTTGGTTCCTTCTTAGGAATCTAATCCTGCTATTTTTAAGTCTTCTAATGCACTGATGGTAGACTGTTTCCTTGCATATTATAACTTGTGATTTTGACCTTGTCATTGAGGCATTCTGTATGTGAATTCCATGAGACCTATATGGGCTAAGGGAGGGTATGCATTTGTTTCTGCCCAGTTCCTGAATGCTATTACCACTTCAGGAGCAGTTGTTAATTTCTTGGGTTAAGAATTCCTGAATAATATAGATAATATAATTATGAACCCCACACGCTATGGTAAGAACAGGTCTATAGTTAAGAATTCACAAGGGAAACTTTAACCTTTATTTGGAGCCCTGGCACTAGTACTCAGACTTGAGTGTGGTTCAAGTTTGACAGGTATAAATGTCAAATCTGACACTAAAAACAATGCAATTTGTTCCAGTTAAGGAACACAGACTTAGGCACCAAATAATTATGTCTTTTCCATTCTTGTTTGAAATGGATGCTTACATTTGCATGACCACTGGGTACCACATTTCATTTTCAACAACTAGTCTTTCTGAAAAATACAAAGAAAAAGCAATGATGATATTAAAGTTGACTCACCACCGTCCTCTGTTTATTGGGCAGGAAGACTCTAACGATAGGTTTTTGTGGTGACTTGGGGTTGCTCCGTGACACATCTGTGGGATTTTGAAAAACTGAAAGAGATGAAGGCAGCACTGAAAGGCTAGAAGAGGAAGAAGATGTAACGGTGTCTGTTGATGCAGAGCTAGAAACAGAAAAATCAGTTCCATTCCCCAGGGATTCCAATAACTGTTGTTCTCTTTGTTGGAGGGCATCTAGCTTGCTGGTGTATTCTTCATAGGCCTATAAAATAAAGTAGACTTACATTGAATCTGGACTTTTTCCTGACAGTAACAAAAGGAAATATGAAATTTAAGTCTTTGATTATAATCTCTTTATAATCTAGCTAACACGATTTTGTATTACAAATTACAAAATAAGTGCTGGAAGTATTGTAAATTAGTACTTTTACCTTTAAATTGATAAATCTTTTGTTATAAGACACTACATCTAGAAACTGACATACACACACACACATATATGTCTATAATAGCCATGAATATTAATTTTGAAAAACCAGTATTTGCAATTTTCTGGCCAAATCACAATTTATATTCCAAACTACATATCTAACATAAGATAAAATACTAATATATCACAGATAAATACCCTATTAATTTTTTTTCCAGAAAAGTTGTAGGCATATAAGGTTTCATACTTCTCTCTGCCTCTCTCTCTCTAAAGAACTGAGAGAGAGGTTGAGAAGGAGATGAGGTGTTAGAGAGATCTGTCAAAAAACAAGACTAAGGTACACAGTGTCAGATCTCACCAGTACCACCAAAATCAGCTCAACAGGGATTAGAGGATGTATAACTGCCACTTTTTTTTCTGAAACAGCTATTAGTTAAAATACCTTCTTTTACTCACTATGGATATCTTATGACCTCCCCTTTCCCATCAAATACTGCTTAGAGAATAGAATTTTGTTTGAAAAGGTAGTTTACACCCTGCAGTCAAGAAATTTTGAGGCCATTATCCATCAGGGTATCTTTCTAGAAGTTTCATTTTACTAAAGCTATAAGGTCAAATGATCACTTAAGATATCATATTCTAAAAGTAGGAAGAATCTTGGAAAGAGAATGCTACTGAAAATAAAGAGATGGAATGAATTGGAATGTATGTGTCCATGGTCCTTTGAGGCAGTAGTAATCACCTTCCCCCACACTATAATCCACCATGTCTCCCTACCACCCCAAATAGATGCAACACTATAAAGATTTATGAAAGGCTACAAAGATTGAAAAGAATCAAAGACTTAAAAAAATGGCATTTCCCATCACTTATTAGGCTACAAAGAAGCAGATGGATGCATTTTTATTTGTGCAAGTATTGTACATGAGAAATAAACAAAGATAAGAGTAAGGAAAGAGGGGGGTCTTAAAAGGTTAGCATTTAGATAGACGGAGTTAAGTGGGGAGAAGAGAGTACTGTGTAGCACAGGAGAAATTTTGTAACAGAGTAAGGAGGTAAGAAATTTTAAGACATAGAGGAAAACTATGGACTAGTATAGCTCAACGTCATACAATACCTGGGACATATCAAGGGATCAATAGATGTTTGTGAAATTTAAGTGAAGAACAGGAACACAAATAATAAGACTGGAAAAGTGGGTAAGGGACCAGCTTGTAGAGAATGTATATACTATGTTATGAAGCCTGAACTTCATTCTATAAGCAAGGGAGAATTATCTAAGGTAGAGGAGAATAAAGGAGAAATTTCATTTCAATATAGGCCACCACACCTGATATGCTTGATCCTACCATATAATTTTTGGGGGGGGTGAGGAGGGAAAATACTAAAATGAGCTACTGAAGTAAAGGGCCTAAACTACACCAAAATGCCCTCTCCTTTAGAATCTAATAGTTGTCCAACGCTGACCCTGAAATGTTTCACAGCATCTCAGGCATTATAATCAAATCAGTCCAAAATTTTCTGAGCTGTATTTCTATTTAGCTTTCAGTTCGATGGGCTAATTACTTACGGGCATCTTTTTCAGTATGATCCACTTATTGAGATTTCGCTTATTCAATAAATATATATTGAGCACACATGTACCTAGTAGTGTTTGGGGCTCAAACCACAAAAATGAAGACTAACACAATTCCTACACTTCGAAGATTATGTACATGCAGCCTGGGAGACAAAAATTCCTCCTTGCGTAGATCAAATATTCTTATTTACTGTCACCTGGGCAAGTACATTTACTACACAAAGTTAGGCTTAGGAAAAGTAATAAATGTAAACAAATTTTCTGAATGTTATTTATCAAAATATTAGCCTTAATTTTTAAAAATATATTGTTCCCTCCACTGTGGATTACAATCTATTATTTCACTGCATTTATCAATAACTCTTCCTTAAGTACAAAACATTTACTTATTCCACCTCTCTCCATCCTCATAGCTGCAATCTACCAAGGTACTTGCCTACCTTGTTTTGAACCTGGTTTGACTCATTTCATCCCATTATCCTTGCTGCATTCCGTGTGGATGCTGATTGCTCTTACAACACTCCTGCCTTGAAGTTCTCTAAACCTTGTATCTATAAACACATTTGTTTCTACTCTACCTTCAAGATCTAGAGATACAAACCAAAGAGTTCTTAACCAAAGAGTTCCAAATGATGACAAGATCTCAACTGGGAACCTCCCATACCCCTATGTACACACACTTATCCCACTGTCTTAAATTTCATCCTCACTACCACACTAATCTGTTCATTGTCAACATTAATCCCTTTATTTTTTTCAGATTTCTTTGCTGTTTTACTTCCCATACTTTGTGGCTCACCATTTCAACAATGCCAATGGTAACATCTTAGATTGGTTAATTCTTATTCTTTTACCAACTTGCTTGTCAAATACCAACTTTGGGTAAATTCTATCATTCAATTACTCCATTCTTTCTCTCAGGTTACCACACATTACTGAAGAAAATAATAAAACAAGGCCAACTGGTTCCATTATCAATTCATGGAAATTAGTCTTTCACACTACTATATGAAAATTTGTACTTATTTATTTAATTTTTTGAAATATTTATTTATTTATTTATTTTTGGCTGCGTTGGGTCTTCGTTGCTATGCGCGGGCTTTCTCTAGTTGCGGTGAGCGGGGGATACTCTTCATTGCTGCATGCGGACTTCTCATTGCAGTGGCTTCTCTTGTTGCGGAGCACAGGCTCTAGGCGCACGGGCTTCAGTAGTTGTAGCACACGGGCTCAGTAGTTGTGGCTCCCAGGCTCTAGAGCGCAGGCTCAGTAGTTGGCGCACAGGCTTAGCTGCTGTGCAGCACGTGGGATCTTTCCAGACCAGGGCTCGAACCCATGTCCTCTGCATTGGCAAGCAGATTCTCAACCACTGTGCCACCAGGGAAGCCCCTGTACTTATTTTTAATTCGTATTGCATTTCTCACAATACTTACTCCCACCTTTCCTATGCTTCTCTGGATCCTAACTTCATCCCCCAACCTTTAATTCACTCAAGAAAATAGCATTACCTTCAAATTTACTCTGAAGATCAAAGCCATCAAATAACAGCTTCCTCTTCTTTCTTTGTCCAATCAATTCTCCCCATCTTTCCCCATCCTTCTTTTGCTCTCAATTTAGTATTAACACTGGGTGTTTAGAGCCTCTTCTGTGGAGGCCTTGGTTCATCATTATCTCCATTTTCTCTCGTATCTTCCAACTTTCTCTTTTTCTCTGTTTTCTTACCCTGCAACCTTGAGCAAGTCCTCCCACATAAACATACACCTCAAGCACCATTATCAGCATCAACAAAATTCCTCTGGTGCTTCAAGAAGCTGCAAAAAACAGATATTTCTTCAGCAGGCAGGTTTTCCAAAACCCCATTCCTTCTCATCAAAATCCTACTTATTGGGCTTCCCTGGTGGCGCAGTGGTTGAGAGTCCGCCTGCCGATGCAGGGGACACGGGTTCGTGCCCCGGTCCGGGAGGATCCCACATGCTGCGGAGCAGCTGGGCCCGTGAGCCATGGCCGCTGAGCCTGCGCGTCCGGAACCTGTGCTCCGCAACGGGAGAGGCCACAACAGTGAGAGGCCCGTGTACCGCAAAAAAAAAAAAAAAAAAAAAAAAAAATCCTACTTATTTTTCAAAGTTTAATTCAAAGGTCTGCTTGGTAAAAATCCAAAATCGATATTTTCTTTTCACTTCCTTTGGAGTATTACCACACTCTTCTTTATATGGCTTTTTACAAAATCATTTGTGAAAAAACTTTGTGAGCACTAAGTGAAATAATACTAGCAAAGGAAGTTATTACAGCAAAAACCCAATAAATACTTTTATTAGTAGTAATAAGTAGTACTAGTTCTTATCGTTATTACTGTATTACTTCGCTGAGTTCTCAGCATGACTCTACTAAATTATAAGGTAGTTGAGGGCACAGCTCATGTTATTTATTTATTTATTTATTCATTCATTCATTCATTCATTCATTTAATGGATTCTTTTCTCAAACTGAAGTATAGTTCATTTATTTTTGAACTTAAAAAAGAATGTAAGAACACAATATTATTAAGATGAAAATACTCCTCAAATTGATCTACAGATTCAATGCAATCCTTATCAAAATCCCAGCTGGCTTTTTTTTGCAGAAATGGACAAGCTCATCTTAAAATTCACACAGAAGTACAAAGTACTTGGAATAACCAAAACAATCTTGAAAAAGAACAGTTTGGAGATTTACATTTCCTGATTTCAAAAGTTACTAAAAGCTACAGTAATCAAAACACATGATATTGATACACATATAAAAAACAATAGATTGAGAGTCCAGAAAAAAAGCCGTACATTTATGGTTAACTGGTTTTTGACAATGTTACTGGTACAACTGAATATCTGCATACAGAAGAATGAAGTTGGACTACTACCTAACATCATATTACAAAATTAACTCAAAGTGTATCATACACTTAAAAGTAAGAGCTAAAACTAAAAAACTCTTAGAGAAAACACAGAAGTAAATCATCATGGCCCTGGATTAGGCAATGGTTTCTTAGATGACACACCAAAACACAGCAACCAAAGAAAAAGTAGATAAACTCGACTTCATCAAAATTAAAGCTTTTGTGCTTCAAAAGACACTATCAAAAGAGTGAAAAAAAGACATCCCACAGAATGGGAGAAAATATTTGCAAATCATATCTGATAAGGATTTCCTACCAAGAATATATAAAGAACTATTACAACTCAGTAATAAAAAGACAACCCAGTTTTTTAAATGGGCAAAG